TTATAGAATATTAAAATTAAAAGTTATAATCAGAGCCGGATTTAAAGATGTGGAGGCCCTGGGGCAACGAAGAGGTGGAGACCCCTAATTATTTTTGAACCAAAATCAAATAGAAACTTTTACGTTGTTTAAATAATTTATTGCGAAATAGCAATATATTGTACATAGACTTTGTAAGTGTTGTATACCATTCGATAGGAAATTTTACCCAAAAATTTGTGTTGTGGAGGCCCCTGGACTTCAATTCCTGTTGTCCCCCTCCCCCCTTTCCTAAATCCGGCCCTGTCGAGAAGAATTATTTGGAGTTTTTTAACGAAGTTTAATCTTTCCTAACACTATAATAATAAAACTAGTTTATTGAAGAAATTTGGTAATCTCTCTTTATATTTATAGAAAAATAAATTTTATCGAGATATATAATTTTATTACAAAAATTTGCATCCTCTTTTTAATGAAATATGTTCAATAAGTAGAAAGATTATTTCATTAATGTAAGCGGAGGAAAAATTTACGAAACAATTTTGAAAAATTCACCGAACGTTTACCTCGATATCGTAATATCGTGAAAAATTAGAGAAGCAACACGGGAGAAACGTTTCTCTCGCCAACAATTTTTTTCCTCAAAGAATTTTCTTGAAACCACTGAAGAGATAAATAAAGCAGAGACGCTTCTGTTATTTTCGTGGAGGAGAAAAAAGGCTGAAAGAAGAGAAGAGAAGAGAAGAGAAGAGAAGATTGAAAGAGATAAAGAGACAGATATACATCTCCAGGTGCGCGATTGCTTCTAATTGCCCGCTCGATGGTTCCAAAGTGAAATTGCAGCAACGTAGACCACGCGAAGAGGAGGAGGTGCACGGGATCGAATAAAAAGAGCGCGCCGTGAAAAAACATGCGACGTGTACACGACGAAGATGGGGAAGATCGGTCGTGATATTCTCCTCCTCCAGGACGATCCCGAGCGTTTTCACTAATTAACCTGCGGTCCGCGACGCCGCAACGCGCGCTTTTGTATCGCGCCGAGAAACCCGCATTACCTTCTTTATGGCGCTAAAATTCGGTAAACGCTCTGCGGTAAATCTTCACGCGGAATACAAGGCACGGCTTGTAATTCCTTCGACCAGAGATAAACCAGTTTCATCCGTACGGGACTGGCATTTTTCTCCGAGGCTCAATCGAGTTATAGTCGAGCTTTATTACACAAGTCTGATGATTGTTCGCTGATTGGATAATGTTACTGCTTTGCTTTGATTTAAGAAAAAACTTTATGTTGAATTTAATTAATTTAGTATTAAGTATAATGATTTTTTTTAATGAAAAAAAAATTTCGTGCGGCTTTCTCTTAGAAAAATATATAGCTTTCTTTTTTTAAAAGGAAATTGAACAATCACGTTGGGAATAAAATATAATATTTATTCCATTGGACAGATTTTTTTTTCTTAAAATTATCATCTTCGCGAAATATGGTCAACGATGGCTGATAAAAGTAACCATTTTGCGCGCTTATTAAAATAAAATGTAAATCGTACCGCATCGTATCAAGGTCTACCGTCGCCGTTCCGCTTAAAACGTCAGGCCGGCCAGTCGGAACGAAAATAAAATATAAATGTAAGAGAGATCATAAGTCGCTACAATTAATATCCAACGGCCTGCAATAACCTTTCTCTCGATACAGGATCCCCGAACATGAATACGATTTACCGCGAGGAGAGAAAGGGAAAGAGAGACAGAGAGAGACAATGGGGGAAGGAGAGGAGAAAAAGAGAGAGAGAAAGAATGACAGAGAGAGAGTACAAGAGCCCGATTTTTGCGACGTTTTTGCCGCACGGCAACTTTGTTATTGATGATCGCGCGATGTTGAGTGCACAGAATAAAGAAGGTGGGCGTTTCCACCCTCGGTTATTTCGCCTCGCGAATCCCGCGCAACGATCTCCGCGCCGCGAACATTTTTCACTTTACGAGGCTGTTGCTTGCGAGGCGCAGCCTCAGAGGTAGTAACGTCGCCGCGATTCGAAGCCCGTACCGCCGCTCGTCGTCGTCTTGTAAAAGTCAATATTTATGAGGGTGCTAACCATCGTCATCGCTCATCCTGACTCGTTAACCGGCTCTTCGTCCCCTTTCCTTCCCACCCTCGCGCGGCTTTGTGTTTACATCCGAAGGACAGACATCCTCTCTTTATTGTCAGTCCTAAAGAAAACATGTCCACACGTGGCTGGATTCTGCTGCCGTTGCCGCTGCTGAATGCGACTCGATAGTGAGGGAGTAAGAGCAAGGGTATCGCTTTATCGTTACTACGGCGCTGGCGAATGTTTTCCGTACAAAACGTATATTTAAATACTAATTGATAACTGTACGATTTACTTGATTACTTGTTGCCTTAAAATTTCGTGGAAATTTTATAATTAGTCGAACATAGGTGGAATTTTTATAATATTTGGAATATTTTCCTCAGAAATTGTATGATTCGGATCTATACATTTAATTGCAATTGAATGATTTTATAAAAATAACAATCAATTATATATATACGTTAATAAATACTATGATCATATTGAAATTATTTATTTATGTTAATTAAATTTATTTATAAATTAATATTAATTAAATTAATTAGTATATCGAAATTTTATATATATATATATATATATATATGTATATATATATATATATATATATATATATTATTCCTATTACATGCATCTATTTAATGCTAATTAATTCAATGTTCAAAAAACTCGTGCAATCGCGTTTCAGAAATCCTCAGAAACAAAGATGAAAGTGAAACTAATTGTATGAGCAATTTGTTAACTTTAATACTGATCGAAATAAATAATAATTTGAAATTTATTTCATGCAATTATCATCAATCATAATAAAAGTAATATTTACTTTTTATATCTTTTAAAACAGATAAGATAAAACAATTATAATAATTAAAATTGCAAAACGTAAATTAAGTATACATAAGTATACATTAACGAATAAATTAGAGAGACAAGAAATAGAAAAAATAAAGGGACAAAAAGAAAGAAAATATATGAAAATGAGAATGAAACGAAAGAATATACAGAAAATACAAGTTATTTAATAAAGGTAGAAAAGGTAATCTATAATTAGAGACTATAATGTTATTGTCCTGGATGCTGTCCTACAAAAGCAATAAAATACAGTGTTAATCGCTATTATATAAGGATGCAAAATCATCTATTTTAAACAATATAAAAAAGATTATATATTAATTTCGATATTGCATAAAAATAAGTGAAATATTTGCGATGTATCATTATTTTTGTACAAGAAGAATAATCATATATAAAAAGAAAAAAATTATATACACATAATTATTATTATATTGATTATTATATTGATTATTATATTGATTTATCAAATAATTAATTATTATAATTGAAATTAAAATATTTAGCTAATTTGATGTAAATTTTAATAAAATCTTTGATTCCAATGTATAATTATAATATGTAAGCGAGCAAAGAGAATACAATATGATATACAATATGGTATAGGACAAGAAATTGATTCAGTGGCAGAGTGGTTGCCAGCTGAAAGGAAAGATCGAGTCCCGGTAAGGACACATTTGATGTGTCCTTATATAGTGGCGATTAATTGTATAGTAATATAATAATATATCGCTTATAAGCGAATACGATCTCTAGCACAGAGGCCAGATTGAAACCGAAGTGTATGGGAAAATATAAATTTACATTCTGTTTCTGCGACTTGAAGCAATTACGCATTTGATGTATAATCGGTCCCTTTATAAACATAAAAGTCGATTACACATCATGCAATATTGTGTCAAGTCGCAGAAATAGAATTTAAATTTATGTTTTCACGTACTCTTCGTCTTCAACTGTTGATACGTACTTGGATTATGGATTAAATCAAATAATCAAACAATAAAAATGTAAGATATATAATTTAAGTAAAGATAGATAATAAAAGATAGATAATAAAAGATAGATAAAAAGATAGATAATAAAAGATATATTTATTATTTTTATATAATTTTAAATTATATACTTTTCTAATTTTTTTCTAATTTATATAAATATATCTTTTCTAATTTATAAATTTCAATTTTATTATAATACTTTATTTATATATTATATTTTTATTTTAAATAGGATAATTATATATACATTAACGCGTAATCGTACTTGTTTTCCTCCGTTACTGTACATATGCTTTTCTCGATTGTGGTTTCCATATTAAAACATTGATAATCTCCAAATAGTAAACGAATAAAAATGAACTGAAATAATTTTACATTTAATTTCAAATATGAGAATAAATGTTTTACTATTATTGGTATTTCTATTCTCGTTTAATTTTATGCAAATGGTTATCAAAAAAACTTTAATTTAAAAAAATTTCACTACTAAAAAGTATTTAATATTAAAATTTATCAAAAAATCGAATAAGGAAAAAGAGAAAAATAAATCATAAAAGGAAGACAATTTATGCTCAGATTTATGGTAGTTATGAATTAACATTCGATCATTTAATATTTATCGTATTCTCTCTTTCTCTTTTTTTTCTTAAAAAAGCTACAATAGTTCGCGCTATTATCATTATAATAGAGAGAGCAAGATGTATTGTTTCATGTAGAAGCAACAAGTGTGAGTCAACAGGCGTATAACAGGTGTGCAAAGTCGGTTCACGTGTCGCCATCTTTCATTGAACTGCTCAACGCGCTTTTCTTTATGTCTGGAGAACCCGTCGATAATAATGCAGTAACGTATAATATAAAAACAACCATAGAGACAACTCCTCATTCACATTTATTTTCTATATAATTTGGAAGAATATAAAAATATTTCTTTATCAAAATATAAAAATAAAAATACAAAATATGAAAAGTGATGAGTTGATCATTATAATTTAATTTTCGTATCAAAGTCCTTATAAAACTTCGTATAAGATTCAGTATATCGAATTTACGACGCACAATTTTTGTTAGCATAATTATGTTATTGACTTACCCTTTGGCAGTGTTCCGCACTGACCCGCGATAAATCTGCGAGGGGTTGAAAGATAACATCGTGAAATTCGGGGTAACTTCGTGCCAACGGACGTGCATACAATTCTTTGGCACTGCACAATATTTCATGATATTCTTCTTCCGCATGTAACAACTTCTCTGTGGCTCTGTACCTGCGATCTGTATCTGTAAAATAATATTTTCATATTTCCATGTTTCAATAATAGCACAAAGCTATTAATTACTTTTTCTTACATTAAAAAACAAAATTTTGTTATACATTTGTATATAAATAAAATATATATATGTATATAAATCAATCTTTTTTTATATAAGAAATATAAAATAAAATTTTACGATTGTTAGCTTTAAGAAATTACAAAAATTTTAATTGAATAAATTTTCCATTACAAATGATACATTTTCTTTTAGAATAACAACTAAATTAATTTTATATTATATAAGAAATAATTTTTTTCTTAGATTTGTGATTTAATAAAATTTAATTTTTCTCATTTTACTCTAGATAATTTCTCAAAATAAAAATAAAATTTTTATAAAAATGAAAAAAAAACAGAAAAAGAGATTAATTACCTCCAATTGCATTGTATTGTCGGGCGAAATCCTCGATAAGTAAAACTTCGCCGTGTAAAAGAGCTACATCGGCTGCAGGATCAACCTCGGCCCTTGAGCCTGCAAGCAGCAATCGAGGCCTGCATACTCGATATTTCAGTAGTATCGGGGCGACCACGGAAGAAATAGCTCCGGGCGATGAGGCTGATAACTAAAACAGATAATAAAAAAACTATATTATCGCACAAGAACATCATCAATCGCTTTCGAATCAAATAATCAGCTTATAAGAATCAAAGAATCATGCATAATTCACAAATAAAAATTTTCGTATTGGATTATGTTGTATAAAAGTTGTATAAAAATTGTTATAAGCATTTTCCATAAATGATTTTTAAAAATATATTCTAATAATTATGAATTAAACTTCGTGTAGTTAGATATTTTTAAAATGTCGACATCATTGACAGGTTTATATATATAACCATATTTTAATTATATCATATTCAAATAAATTATTAAATATATCATAAACTTTCAATTAATATTTTAATAGAATAACAATCACAAAAAATAACGGATTAATAAAATGTTAATCATCACCAGAGATCAGCCAAAGTAATAAAAGTGTATTCTGTCTTAAACGTATCAAGAAAGTATCAAGAAAGTCGAGACTTGCTATAGTATCTATTTAATTAAACTTTCTTTGTGTAGGAAACTGGTTCGTCCAACCAGAAAACTCGAAATGTTCTAATTATGCGACTGGCGGGAGGAGGAGGGAGAGGCACAACCTTATAAAAAGCGTCGAATCTCGGGGCATACATTCCATAACTTTACACTTACGGTAGCCCCAACCGACTAATTCTCGAAATCTTGGTTGCTATGTTAAGGAACGCGAAGACAGCGCATAATTAAAGCGCACGTGTATTTACGGTTTGGCAATGTGAACAGCGGCGCAAAGGGGATCAGATAAATGTTAAGGGTTCAGAAATCTACATCAGGCAAAAGACCGTACATCGACCTTCCGGTGGCCCCTTGTGATCCAACTTGTATACGAATGTTCGTCGCATCGTATATAAATATATATAATACGGTAATTGTACAATCGTAATTCGCGCGAATCCTTCAGATATTCCGGCATTTGTGGAAGACGAGGTGGAAGTACAGTTATTTTCTTAAATATCTGCAATAAATCTGCGACTTAATGGACTAAGGACGAGGAAGTTGTCGGTTGAAATCGATTGCCCATTAAAGTGCAAGTAAACTCTTTCTTATATCTTTAAACATACATGTATTTTATATTGTTCAAATAGGTAATTATCGCGCTAATCATATAATATTAATCATATAATCATATAATATTATATGTGCATATATAAAACATATCTTCGATTAAAGCAACAAAGCAAAGATAATTAATAATGTAATACTTTAATATGTAATACTTTAAAGAAAATTGTTTTAGTAAACAATGTCACGTGTGTAAAAAATAATAATAAAAAGCATAAAAGATATATTTCCGAAGAAATATTAAGAAATATTGCGAAATTTTTCTATCTGAAAGGTTTTTTAAAAATTATCATTAATTTAAAATTAATTTATTTAAAATATTAATTATAATATTTTATATTGTTTCCTTAAGCTTTTACTTTACAATATTATTTATAGATTGAATATCTTTGGAATTTACGTTTTATACCATTCAGATATCTGCAATAATAAATAAATCTTCAATCTTAATAAAATAAATTTTATGGGATTATAGGATAGTTAGGCAATATAAATGGTATTGAAAATCTAAGGGTTAATACGTAATATTTTTATGTCACGTAATGAGTTATTAAAACAATTTTCCGGCATCGTAATTAAACGAGCGAACTCCGAGTATTGGAACGTTTTAATCAACATGGCGAAAAACAAAAATCATGCATTATCCTTGTTTATGTGTTCATTCGTTATCCAATATTAATTTTACAATCTAACTTTATGTCATCGACTAATGATTATCTGACGCATAATTTATGCCGATATATTTCTAATGTCATGGTTCACAGATTGAGTGCATAAAAGTTGCTCATACATCAAAAATAATCATACAAATAATCGTCGACTCGTGCCGTGGACGGCGAAGAGGGAAAGGGGATCGAAGAAAATGATATGGTATGTTCACACAAACCCTAGATCAATGATACGATCCCTATGATTCAGTGGAATCCAGTAGTAAGAGAAGGATTAAACTAAATATACTGTTCATTTAAGATCACGCTTTTCTCTCTTTTAATATAACGCAGCCGATTCAAATATATAAATAACTTTTCTCCGACTTGATAGAAATATACAAAAATAATACAAAAAATAGACACATCTTTTTCATTTAAATATAGATAAATATAATAACGTGAAATGAGTCACCGTTAAAAAAGCCGTATTAATTAGCATAGTGCTCGCATCGTCAAGCTGCCGTTTTAACGAGCTTAAATGTAATTTTCTAATTCCCCTATTTGCGTACACGTAAAGTTTTCATGGTTCAACAAGTTTGGCACACTGAGAATATCACATGGGTTTATACATTTATGTTGAAAGAAAAGAAATAATTATACTTATTAGTGTCTATTAATTCTATTACATAATTAAAAATAATTATTCTCTAATTATTATACCTCTATAAAAATTTGTTATTCTACAGTTAGGCAATTTTTATTATTTTTTGATAATTACTAGTTTATCTTAATTATAATTCATGAAAATATGCATATTTTCATGAATTATGCTTCAAAAATAACGGAATCAATCTTTTCATTAAGAAAAAAAATCTAAAATAAAAAATAAAAATCCGTTGTTAAAATATGATTCGCTAAGTTTGAAGCATCTTGTATAATCGCCAGTCACTAACGATTCTCACGATACTGAAAGCGTCAGTCATCCGTGACCCTAATATTGGATCCATTAAAATGACGTAACGGCAATGAATCATCGATATTGCATTTATAAAAAATTTAAGTATACATTTTCTTATATAAACTGTATACTAAACATACTTATCCAGTTTCTCTAACTTGCAATCCAGTCAGTTTAATTGCATAACATATACTTGATATTTTATCATTATCGATAAGCACGAATTTCTATATATTTTTCAAATATATTCTTATTTCTGCCTTACATATATATTATACAAACACGTAATTATATTTTGAATATCTAAAAGTAGCGACATTTCAATACTAATTTTTGCGTGCCTTTTTTATTGTTTTATTTTTGACGCGAGAAATATTCTCTTTTTGTTTCATATGCCTTCAATTTTTAATTCTGGTGATATAAAAATGCATTTACTTCAAGATTACCTAAATCATATTGATAAGCGGTTTCGCGGATCTGCGATAATTGGGACGATTTATCTTTCTCGCTGTTCGCATAATTCAGATCATTAAGCTCGTACGCGCGTTTCACGCGATGTGATTTAACGCGAGAGCGATTGTCCGCGAGGTTACCGAATCCGCGGCTATAATGCATCGTCGGGAAGATTCATGGCAGTCTTTCGAGAAGTAATGTCCAGAACGCGGGATTCACCGATGTTGCATTTATGCGAAGAACGCGTTATCCCTCCCTTTAGCGAATGTGTGCAAGATACTCTTGATTGGAGAGAGAAAGAGGAGGTCACACGCCCACTCTCGCTTTTAATAAAGCCAAACCGGAATTGTAAAGCTGAATCTAAATTGCATAATTATACCGGTCTACGTCTCTCTCTCGCTACAACATATCTTACTCTTTCCCCTCTCTCTTTTTTGCCCCTCTTTTTGATCATCTTCTTGACCCTTTCTTATTCTCCTTCGACTTTTATTCGTTTGCCTTTCTCTCGCGGGCAAATATCAAAAGAATAACATCACAAATCTACCAGCCGCATATCTTCAAGATCTCCAATATTACGGTAGCCGGTCAAAAATAAATAAGATAAAAATAATGCTCTTTGTATAAAAGTATAATCAAAACTCCACATCAAGTTTAATAGCAATATGTAAAAAATATACACAATATATATGTTCGAAATCGCATGTTTTTTTACATTCGTGAACATATTTTACTCAATACTTATTAACTAACCAAGTTCTTAATAGATTCGATTAAACTACCTCGTTATAAACATGTATCTCGTTTAAAGATCAAGTTATAACAAAATAAAAGAGTGGTGATCGATTAACGGCTCCGTACTTTCACCGGTTTTTAAAATTGAATCTGGAATTCAACAAGATTATTGTATCTTTTTGGTAAAAAGATTTAAATCCAAATAAGTAAGAGAGAGAAAGACGGAGATAACGATGAAAACCGACGATACGGCTCATTTGGCCTTCCGGTTAGCCGGAAATGACTCTCTTTGAGAGAGATTAACTCTCAGAATTTATTTTCTTCCCGGCATGAGAGACATCGTTTCTTCGTCCAATTATTCAGCCCAGTGATTTCGCTTGCACGAAACAGCAACGTTGTACTTGCATTCTTCCCAGCCGATATTTCGCAAGGCTCTTATCGCAAATTGAAAAGGTTTGTAAGATTGCGTCTCGCAGCAGGATATGTTTGAAAGAAGACCATATTGTTGCAGCGCATCATACTTATCTATCCGCAAATCCGTCGTCGCTATTGAACGTATCGCTCCCCATTGTTCGGTGAATCACCTGGTCGATGTCGTTGCACTTTTTCCTTGATATGTCATAGCGATCGAGCACGTATACTTGATGTGCAAGCGTAAATTACATATATATGACACAGGATAAGTGCAATGTAACAATTGCGCTAAGACGTTCGCGAAATATTTCTGCGACTACATGTCTATATGTCATATGTAAGCCTATCGAGTGGACTGTACGAATTCGTTTATTGTTTCCTTGTTCGCGTGACAGATGATGGATTTCCATCGGCTGTTAAATAGGCAAGTATGTACATGTGTGTATATATGTGTAGTGCCTCGTTCGAAACGAAATGTGCATGCACAGGCATCCTGTCCCTCCCAGACTCATTATGAGACAATGAGCGTCGTTACATCGATCACAGGCCAGGGCATTCTGCCGAGGCGGAAGAGAGCGGACTTGTATTTCGCGTGTAATGCGAACAGTAGTGGATTTAGAGCACCCAACGTGTTTAGACTCTGCAAAATGTTGCTGAAATAATTTTTTTTTTAATTTTTGTTTGCAACAATAATTTAGAAAACATATTAAAAAG